AATAATTGCCGCGTCATCCCCATCAACCGCCGACAAGTCTCGATAATTACCCTGAAGATGACAAATAGAATGAAAAACACACCAGCAAACGACTCCTCCAGTCATCAATAATTTACCAATTGATTCCGTCAAACTCAGAGTCATCTGATAGCCCATAATCGCTCGGATGATTGCAACGCACGATTGAGAATCATTTATGGGTGTCCGAGAAGGGGAATATCCGCCCTTTCCAGAGCAAACTTTTGCACAAACTCGTTCACGCGTGAATAAGCTCAAAGGTGGGTCAACGTACCGTACAGTGGCAACAGGGGAGTGCGTTTCAACGGTATCAGGGAAGAATAATTCTCCCACTTCTCTTTTTATTTTCCTTTCAAACTCCCCCGCAATACAATTTATCCAACCGGAAATGCTGGATTTTTCCAAGGTGGATGATGAAACAGCGCCACCCCTACTGATCCCCTTTGATCATTATTTTTATCATCGCATCAAAACAACGAGATAGAGCAAGGATAATTGTCGTGTCATGCGGGGGAGGAATTCGAGGGTGTGGGTCAAACAGAGGGTGAAAAGATTCCTTATGGGTTAGCTGAGGAAATCTCAGGATCAAATTGCTCGTGTGATTGATCTCAAGATTGAAAATATATTTGATTAAATACAATGGGTGGAATGCCTTGAACATCAGCAGCTAAAATATTGTGGGTCAAATATTGTCGTAGATAAGGTCAATATCACGGGTGAAATATAGTGGAAAAAATATTGTGGGTGCGCTCACCTGAGTCGTATTGCGAGAACTATAATGGGTCAGATATCATAAATTTGGTTCGCACCTTTTGACCCACAGTATTGACCCACAGTATTGACCCACTTGAATATGGTGGGTCAAAAGGTGGAATTGAAATATAACGCTTGTAAAATATCTCAGATCATCACCAGAGTTGCAGTGACTGGCGAAGAAACCGGTCTGAGTATGCCAGTATTAATTAATTATCGGCCATACTTGTGCCTGACCATTAGCATTACCAATTAGAGCATGGTGTCCACTGGGTGGTACGATATGGTGAGGGGAATCAAATCGTTGGTCAGTCTGGTGAGTTATGCGTGCCGATTGTGGTGATTCTGGTTTGTCTAGATTCAAACAATTTCCGTATAACCGGAGGTACCTGATGGATTCAGTAATGATGTTGAGTAAACCAGTTCACCATTCTCAGTTAGTCCACCATTGATTTTACCCCCTGGTCAATGGGCGTAATTGGATTACGTGGGTAGATCAATTTTCCCAGCGAGACACACCAAGACGAATAATAACACTTCCATTACCCAATCTGTCTTGATAAAAATACAGAGGGGGAATTGAAGCGAGTCAAACAATATAGGTAATGATTGTCACGGGCTGGTGACGAGTATCGAGGGTTGCGATATTTTGAGGAAACGACCCCTCAAGGCAATTCAAACCAGTCTAAATCGACTTGATGAAAGGAATTAATAAATACCAATCAAGACAGCATCACAACCTTTCGTCAGCTGTTCCCACTCGACTTAGACATTTGTCATTTTTCATTTGACACGTCCGATTTTATCGCATACAACGATTCTTTCTGGATAAAATCACATTCAACAGTTGTACCCATACTCTCAAATGCTTGAAATAACCCAGAGGCACTTGTTAAGCCAACAAAACACTTGATTGATAATTGGGAAATTTGTGGTCTGCGATCCTAATTGCCAATGTGCAATATTATTACATCATGACAAACTACAGGGATTCGTGCGTATGTCAGTACCCGGAGATTGGTAAGTATCAAGGAGGAAAACCGGAGCGAGGCAGCTGTAGCTGTGTAGTGGTGTTTGTCTGTGGATGTGTCTGGGGAAGAGAGAAACAAGAATTACACGGTGAGATAGACTGATTATGGATAATGCGTGGACAAGAGTGAGGGCATTTCTCGAGGCTATGATGGTAGACAAGACGAAGTGGTGGTGTAAGGTGGGAGGGAGATCAGGGAGGCCCGACAAACTGACGCCAGGAACCCCACCATGTGAAAAGCCCAACTACCCACGCTGTTATGTACACATACATACACATGGCTAACGATTGAGATACGCTGTGGCTGGGTTATATACAAGTGCGACGCCTCGAAAATTCCAACGCACGCCTTTTGCCTACAACGAGTTATCGAGGAATAACTTGCGTATGTGGAGAAATACGTTGGCCACATCGGGGGTGACCATCTCCGAGAAGGCATCATCGCTTTCCCGACATTCAGTGCAATCAATCTTTTGTCGTTCAGTCGTCATCCTCTATCGATGATTCAGGAACGAGAAAAGGAATTGCTGCTGTTGTTCCGAGGATCATGATGACCATCATCAATGATCATAATACATAAACTATTCATCTGACTCACAGTCAAAGGTGATGACAATAATCTACATCATTTCGACTCCAAATTCATTAATAATGAGAGATCTACACCGTTGAGTCAAATTCCAAATTCGGGAGTTAGCTTGTTAAAATAACACCTCAATCCTGATGATGATGACCACAACGATCACATCGGAATACCATGGATCGAAGGTTACCGAGTCTAGATCTGACTCACGCAAATCGCCTCAAACATTGGAGTCGTCAATGAGGCAAGACAATCTCCCAGTGCCTTCCATCCTCACCTTCTCTCTCACCTCTTGTCGCCCGCAGTCATCTCGTCAGTCGCCAAGAGAGGCGTCGGAAATAGACTCCTGTCTGTATTGGTATATCCGTGTTTGTGTATTACTCGGGTCCAGCCAGAGAGACAGAGAGAGTGAGAGAGGGAGAGAGAGAGAGAGCTTCGTCATCTCGGGAGAGAAGGTCGTAGTTGGAGGCCGTTGGGTGGCTTTTGAGAGGTGGGAAAGTGAAGAGGGTCCAGGGGAGATCGAGCTGGCAATAGGTGGGTTTGGAGTTCACCAGCTTCAATGTGTGTGTTTGCCTGTCACTATGAATACACGTGGACAAGCCTGAAGCACTGGGAGTTTGGGGAAGCCCTCTCGATGCCTGCCTATCTCACTGAGATGCTATTCTCAAACGTCCCGGGACACAGAAATAGCATCACACTCCGTTGGTTGATGAGACGATGCGAAAAGGAAAAAAGATAAATCAGAGATGATGGGTTGAAATCAGGCGTTCGTCGTAGTTGTACAACTGATGATGTTGTACAGCTGATGATACTGTTTGTTACTCCCATGGTGCTCACCACCTTCATTCCACCTCATTCCTGAGCTCTCGTTGGAAACATGTTTTGATGCTCATTCATCCAGTCAGACGGACTAATGGTGAATGAAGATGGTACGTGACGGCAATTGGAAAAAATAAGAAGAGCGAATAAATGACACGAAGTTCGGACTGAAGTGGCAGGATGAGGCATGAAGGAGGTGCACGTTGTTTGAGCGTGATGTATACGTTCAATGATGTTTTTCTAAACTCTTGCATTAACCATCGATCCCTCAGCGCTGGATTATACCCAACAGGGACTCCATGAGGAGAAAAGGGTACCCTCGATGGGGTTCAGTGAACAGCCGAGCCGCAGGGGATTCCAACGATGGCGCCAGGCTGGGTCTGTCTACGGTCCATCGGGTTATATGAGATGAGGATGAGAGAAAAAAAAAACAACAAGCCTGAGAAGGATATCCCAACGAGTAAACCAACGACTCTCGATGGAGATGAGTGAGATAGATGTACTCTGAAGACTTTAAACTCGGTAACGGACTAGAGGCGTTGAGGCTTACGCAAGCAACTGGCGACCTCATCAACCGATCTCCCTCGTATTAACCGAGTACAATATCACTGTCCTCTTTCAACCTATCTCGTTTCCGTTTGACGTTGGCCAATAAAGCCAGACTGTGGATGTGTACGAGAGTCGGGGATTCCTCATGGCGCCGACCGTCTGCCGTGCCCGGAGTGCCTCGCACAAGCGCAGACGTTTTGTAGCTAGGGTATATCTGTGTTTGTACGTGATAGAAATTGCCGGGTTGGGTGCCAAGGGTAGGGGAAATAGACTCGCGTAGACGACGGACGGCTTGTGGCCAACTCTGTGAAAATTATACAAGATAGAGAGGGGAATACCACGCAACTAACGACACTAACCTGTCTCTGCCGGACAGGGGGACACGATCATTTCAAATCTTTTACCGGAGGCTTGACAATTTTCAGAGCATTTTTCCATCACACCGTCTTGTCTGCTTCCTGGAGAAGTCCGCTAGATTGGAAAATAGAAATGGTTCATCGTGATTTACCAAAGATGTTCAGTATTTTAGATTCAATATTCTCCTGCAATTTTAAATCTGTGTAATTATAGATTGAAAGCAAAAGGAACAGGGAAAGAAGAAGGGAAAGAATCTGGTAATTCAGATTACGGGTGAAATCAGGTGAAAGCCCGGAGGTTGGGAAGGTGTTGGTTGATGATTTAATTGCCAATGACAAATACCGAAATTTCCGTGAAGCAATGTACGAATGATATCCCCTTCCCCCCGAGCCAAAACGAGAAACATTATCTGGATCTCTTGGCACTCGTGCACGGGTTTCCGTCTATTCTCGAAGATAACCTGCCTACCAGCTTTTACCCGAGGGCCAGCGATCCGTGGCGACGCGAAAGCTCGATTAGATACGAAGAATCCCTGCACCTCGTGACCGCTCTCTCCTTTTTCTCACCTATTACACAAGCTGTCCACCTCTTGGTAACTGGAAATTGTGGACAAGTATCGGTGGAGCGTGGGTTTCTTTTGCGTCTACTGGAGGATTCAACCTGGGGGAAGGGTCGAAAGGTCGTCATATGACCTCGAGTCCGATAAAATGCAACAAAAAATAGTTCATTTCATAATTTACCGTCCTACATACGCGGTATTCAGGGATGCAGAGTGACTCTCAGGTCGTCAAAATATGACAGTCACGTCATCAACACGTGTTCTCATTTTGCGGGTGTCATAATTTGATTAATTATCGATTGATACTTATCGCCTGATATTCTGTTGTACAGATTGATGTGGTGATGCCACAGGAAATAATGGGGATAACACTGGATACCATCTTGGAAACCGATTTAGCAATCATCGTGTCAAAATGGCCGTTACATATTTTTAGTCATCCGTTACCCACAACTCATTAACCTCAAAACTAAGGAATTTGACGAACCGCAATTTGATGGCCTCCAGCAAATTTCCACCTGCGAAAAACATAAAGCAAGATTCAACAATGGCGTCAACGGACAGGTACTAGGCAAGAGTTGATATACCTATAGGGACAGAATCGTTTATCGTGGTCACAGCTGGCAAACTTCCATAAAGCATGCATCGTAAAACCTCCACGAGGCTCTTCACCATCACAACGTCAGCCCGGCATTGTCCAGTGACGCCTCTTTCCCGGCTTACAGACGTGCACACCTTTAACAGGAGAGACTTGCGTGTGATGTCTAGAAATATGAGAAAAATGTGGTTGTGTAGGTGCTTGGGAGAGTGGGATAAGACATCGATGGGAATGCCGGAAGTTGGCCGCAGGTGCTCTTCACGTTCGCCATTATTTTCATGATGTTCAACTATGGTTTTCTTTTATCTCCATTTATCATCATCGAACTCCTCATTTCGATATGCATCAATCGCCGCAAATAGGGCAAGAGAATTTTCCACGCAACGAATAATATCACAAGTTCGCTGCATGGTTCATAAAAATGATGAAAAATTGTGGTTAATCAATGAATTGTTTGGATTAAAATTTTTCAATTTGATTAATTCCACGGCCATTCGGTACGAATGGATACAACACGGAAAGGGAAAGCCAATGCGTAAAATAACCGTTTGAAAGAGTGCGATAGGAAGACAGAAGGAATTTCCCACTTGTTTTCGAGGTGACCCCTTGCGGATGATTGATTTTCATAATAACCGGGAGGAGCATGCGGTGAATGTGACGAGCATCATCTAGACGCTTCTCAAAGGGCAGAGTGTCATGTTCGGCATTCATTTTTCCATCCATTACTCACAGACGTTTAATGCTCATCGCAGCGGGAGGTGGTGTAAAATGGCGCGTAACGCAGCATCTAAAAATATAAGAGAGGTTAGCTATCGTGAGTACCGAAAAGAGCAAGGAGAAGGACTGGTATGAAAAGACAATAATGGCATTGTTATTTTTTTTTAGCCAACAGCCTTGTTTTTTCTCCCGGCATGTGATGCTCATTTGCTGGATGTCGACAGCAGCCGTACGTCTAGGTATTTCACGGTGTGCGCCACGACGTCGCCAATGGTGAGTGGTGATGGGCGAATACATTATCAGGGTTGGCCTTCGCATTATAGATTCGGAAGAGTCAATATTACCAGCTCTATTTTCCCGTCGTGTTGATAATCATCGGTAGTTGATAGAAATTAACGAATACCCGAAGTGAAATTGTTGGTTTTATTGGAAGTCAGGGTAATGAATGAGACGTTTATGTAAGAGCAATTAAATAATATTTTATTGAGATGTGTTTGATGATGAAACTTGGGGGGCAGTCGTCGAACTGACAAAACATCTCCAAGTCACAATGACCAAAGCATCGACACCATGACTTATTCCTTTCCATGTTTAGAGATTTGTTTATATTATTTAAATAATAAATTTTCCTAGAAAAATTACGTTAATTATTTTATTATAGTATAATAAATGAAACTCGTATAGATCTGTCATTAGATCGTATTGTTTTTGCTCTTTTCCATAGATGTCGATATCCATGAAGCTGAATTAGGAATTGAAAATTCATAATTGAGAATGGAATTGTGCCTGAATCAGTTCCCCTGGTCGAAATCCTTGGATCACAATCAGGCTGGGTTCTGTGAAACCTGATAATCTGATCTGACGAGGTTCAGGGCTGATCTGATCAATCTTGATGTGGACCTGATAAAAATTTCCTCTCGTGTATTTGCGGAGCGTTGCTGGAGGGACTGGACTCCTGGAGGGATTCGGTTCAATGGCCAATGGATGATTGGTTTCACTGAGTGTAATTTCAAGTCGAGACGGTACCTCTCGATGGAGAAGTTGCAATCAGGGCAACGATGTTGGACATCTGCCGACCATCTGCTGGTAAATGCCGCTCGACCACATCTCCCTCCACACTCTCGTGTCCAGCTTCCGGCGAGAGGACGGGGGCAAGGTGCTCCTTGTCTCAGACCTCCACCGAAAATACCATTTATACCTTCGGCTGATTTCTCCTGAGCTCGATGCACGCACTCTTCTCATGATTTAGTGTTCCGTATCGGAAGGAAGATTTATCATTTCGTGGGAAAGTCATTCATAATTTGGGATTGACGTCTAAAATCATCACGAATTTCGACTAATTTAACTGCACGGAGAAAAAATATTTATTGTTTTTCGGAAAATCTCCATTATAAAATTCCATTGTAATAAAAATTAATGGCCATGAAATCCTATGAATCAATAACTGTTTCAATTACTCTAAGGATTGTTTGAGAGTTGAAAAAAGTTGAAAAGTTTCTTAATTGAGTAACTGTAATTTGTAAAATTATGTTATAGTAATCGGATTGAATTTTGAATGTTTAAGTGATTCGAGATAATGTGAGGTTTTAGAATAGCGAGATTTCTTCGTAATAAATATTTTTATTGTGAACAGCAATTTATCTGATTATTCACCCACCCATCTTAATTATTATTCAGAGCATTTGGCAGTCGCACTTCGAGTGTATGAGCTCGTAATTGGTAATTAAGGTGTTGCCCCCTGCATGGGACAAAATTTATGGCGGGCGATCCACTGTCGAGATTATAGTTGCTCCTCCGAACGTGTTTTTCTGGGAAGTAAATCACGATTCGGTGGGATTTGGATAATCAGATATTTGTCACTATCATCTTCAGGCAAAAACCTGTAAATTCAGCGTGGAATGTGATAATCCTGAGGCCGATGTGGTACATTCAGATGAATCTATTCTATAATCACGTCCGCAGGTGAGCATTTGTCAGAATTAAATAGAGGATAATCAGAGTGTTGTTCAATTCGAATTCCGGTGATTTTTTCTAGGGGTTTGCACTTCTCTCTTCTCTGATTCTGGCGGGCGTGTGTTTATGCGTTAGTCTGGCTCCCTCGAGTGAAAAAAAAACAGACCAGTCTTTGGATTCGGGGCTCTTTGTTCGAGCGAAAAGAGAATGAGGGAACACCTGTCCAATCTGCTGGCCACTTTCCACTCTCTTCTATAGCCTCTGATCACCCAAGCAAGTTCTTCCAGACGCGAACCCCCTCTTTCTCGAGGCATCGAACTTACTTCGCTGACCAGATATTTCCGAGGAATTTACCGTCAATGCAAAAATTTGACAAATTTTCGCTCCTCAAATTCATCTACATATATATCATCTTCAAATTGAATCGAGTCGATTTTTGAACTTGATTTAAGTCGATCTTTGATTTGAGTCAAATCAAGTATTTGAGTTGAGTCAAGTTAATTTTTTAATTTGAATCAAGTGAATTTTTTTATATGAGTCAATTCTTCGATTTGAGTCAAGCCATTTTTTTTACTTGAGTCAATTCAGTTTTTTCACTTGAGCCAAGTCAATTGTTTGACTTGAGTCAAGTTAATTATTTGACTCGAGTCAAGTCAATACCTGATCTTGCTTAAAAACCATATTTTTTAACTTGAGTCAATCCAGTTTTTTTGACTTGAGTCAATTAAATTGTTTAACTTGAGTCAATTAAATTGTTTGACTTGACTCAAGTCAATCAATTGACTCGAGTCAATTCAAAATCCTGAACTTGATTGAAAATAATTTTTTTTCACTCGATTCACCAAGTTGTGTTGAATTCGAAATAAATTCTTCGATTCGATTACAATTTATCCCTGAGTTAAATCAATTCAATATCTCGCTTGAAAAATTCCCCAAAATCGAATCAATACACATTCTTCGTAAGTCTGCGACTGATATTCAAAACACCACCTCGAAAATTAGTCGAGTCATAAATTTTCACCTCCCCTCCTTAAAAAATCCATAAAACCTAATTATCCCCTCGAATCGCGGTAGGCGAATCCCCAGAAGACTTAAATAATGGAGTAGTCCGTGGGAGTTTCCGTGTTGGCAAATTGCGGATGGTATTTTGCAATTCAATAAAACTGGTGAAAATATAATGCCAAGTGTATAGCGTAGTAAATGGGTAATCTGTTAATCTGCGATTCAGGTCATAACCCAAGCCGTAGCGACCTAGATGGCTCGTTTACCCGCCAGCTATTCTGAATTCCCTCATTCACATGGGGATTCCGGCATTAGCCTGGCCTCTTCCCCGGGATATGGCAGCCCTACACCTTCGTCTTCAGTTTCGTAGATGCGTGGGTTAGATCCTCTGGTATTACACCTCGCAATCACTCGCAAGTGCATAACTCTGTCGTGAACATTAATTCTGAGCTCAACGTCATCTGACACCTGCCGATTACCCCAATAAATAATAATATTAAATTATTATTAGGTTCAACAAATTAATGGTTTACAAAAAATCACGCATTTGCATTATTCACATTTTTTTTTCATTTTTGACGAATGAGAATAAGAGTGGAATAATTTTTAATGTTTGTCTGGCATTTAATGGATTATTTATATTATAATTGACAATTTATTGTTTAACGATTATTTTTATCGCAGTTATTCATTTCGAGGTTCAATCACGCGCTTCGAATAATCCCACCATATCGCGGCGATTTCCTCCCTCGAGGGTAAAAGACGGAGTGAAGTCGCTGATGGGTAAAAAGAAATAATCGAATAAGGGTTGGGGGTACGAACGTCGGTGAATACTTATAATTCCCGGGGAAGGTGAGGATAAAGAGTCTCGCCCACAGCATATCGAAGTGAGAGAGAACTACCGATGAAATAAAGTAACCCTGAGGATGGAAACAGCGACAAAAGGTTAGAGGGAAGAAAAAATATGCGAGGGAGAGAAGGAAGAATCGGCAAAGTTTGAGACTCGAACTCATCCGGTGGCAGAGGGGGAAATAAAAAGGGATGGGATTTCACATTGCCACCCTCTGGTTGCCTGGCAACCGCGTGCCTTCGACTTCGACTACCCCCCCCCGATGTCACCAGAAAACGGGAACGACCTTTTGACATTTCGAGGATTCTCCTCTTCCATCGTACTCTCGACCCTCTTTCCACATTTTTTTTCTTTTTTCCATAATTCTCTTTTACGTGCCCTTCAGGTCCTGCCGCCACTTCATTTCGATGGCGCGGGTTCATCCCTCGGTACCTGACTGCCACTTTCAACCCTTCAATTAATTCCTTTTTTTAGATATATAAAAATTTGCAACTCGGGGTATTAAATGGAAATATAAAATAATGCAAAATATCAGTATTTCAATTGAATTGAGTAATTTAATACATTTGTAACAAAATAATTATGAAAAAATTTGTATTATTTGTCACGTTTTTTCATGGGATATTTTTTCTTCTGTTTTTAATGATTACCCGGCGACAGGAAGCTGTATCGAGAATACCTCCACTGTAAATTCCCCTCGGAGATTACAACCCCCAGAAGGGGCGCAAAGGAGAATCTGCCAAGGGTATGAAATCGCCGTGCACTGGGGAGGGAGTGAAAATTCCCCCCCGGGAGTCTAGGGGTAGGTGAGGACGGTATAAGGGGGGTGAATCAAAGAAGGTGAGTGGAGAAAGATAGAATGTAACATCGGGTGAAAGGGGTTGCTGAGAACTTGAGCTGAGGGGGTTGATTATGAAGATTAAAGATACCAACTCACTCCTCTGAGTTCTCTCCACTCCACAGCCCCTACCAACTCCGCTGTGAAAGCCTCCTCCTGCTTTTTTTCATCTCCATGCCTCTCTCCACCTGCAGAATTATTGACTCAACGTTCTGCGTTATGGGTTGAGTGATAAGAAATGAACAATCGGAGAACATCAAACAACATGTTATCGACTTTTTCACCTGCTCCACGAAAAATCAAATAAAAATCGATAACTCGAATTTATTTCCGCATTCAAAATGAAAATACAGTTTATCTGGATGTAAATCAGGTTCACACCTATTTCCAAGCTGAATCAGGTATGAGTCAGTTCTCATTCTATCCTGAGATATTCCGGCCTTAAATCAGCTCGCAATCCTAATTAATTATGACTTTTTTATTAGTTCAGGATTAAGTGCCTGATCAGGTGTCATGAATCCAGTGATGAAAAATAAAAGCGAGTCGTAATCCATATTTCAATTCAGGCACAGGTCGACCTGAACGTTAAACCACTGCGGATTAAAGAAAAAATCGGAATCAATTTAACCGATCAATATCTTATCACGAACAGATTGGAGTTTCCACTCAGGCATTTCGTACTAAAACTGCCACATCCCTTATTTCTTCTACCTCAACTCCGGAAAACCTTTAAACTTCCTTCGTTGGAAGACTCGCCGGTGTGTAGGGAATACGCCCTCGGGATCTGCTCCCATTGTTCCCCTTTTTCTCTTTTATCCCACTCTTTCATCCGGCCGAACCCTCGCATAACTACACGCACCCACACAAATCCAAAATCACGTACATTTCCAAGGTGCCCCCTTCCCCCCCCACCCACCTATCCACCCATCCACCCCTTTGTTTTCACGTATCAGGACTCATACCCTCACACCCACGCCATTTTCTCCCTCGTGTTTTTCTCCTTTTCCTCTTTCACTCCACTCTCACTCCCCCAGATATATTTTTTTTCAATCCCCCTCAAGCCACCCCCCTCGTCACCCCGTCCAGGGCCCTTCCTTCCCTTTTTACCTTATACCTTTATACCTTTTCTACTTTACGAGGGCGTATATTTCCTTCAGCGAACAACCGGACCGGGTATAACCTTTATGGGGTTCTTCTGAAATTAAACGAAACTCGTGCTTCGTGAGTCCTCACAGGGGGTTGGAAAGGGATGGAAGGGGGAGGGGGGCGTTGAAGGGAGGAATAAAAAAGTTGGGTAGAGAATAGGTACTGGTAGAGGAAAAACTGATCTCACTCTTTCCTGTTTGGTGAAGTATATCATTGGAGTTTTATGGATGAAAGGTAAAGGGGAAAATGGAGGAAAATTGTGAAAGGAGTCTGAAGCAATTACTTATATTCCAGCTGTCGAGAGCACCATTTCGTGGGTATGAATTATTTAAACTGCGTTGTAGAAATTTGATTTTGTTCTGTGAGGGTGGAAGGGGAGGGGGTGGATTGTCCTTTTGAGTGTCGGATTTGGAGGTTGAATTAGCGATTATGGGGTTCAATTGAATGGAAAGATCGGTAAGGGCAACTCGCCGAGTGTTGTCCTCTGCTTGTGACAGGCTTTTGGGTTATGCAATATCATTGGGTATCGATTGGCCTGTCGTTTACAGGGTTGTGGATGGGTGGATGGCTCTTTACACCCTTTGTTGAATATGGGATCGTTTTACATGGGTTTTAGTGGAAAATGGAAATTCTAGGATTGTATGGAGAGAGACGAGATCCTCTATGATTTATCTCTCCTCTTTTTTCGTGGTTAGACCGAGGGGGTGTGATGGAATCGGGAAGGGGTGGGCACCATTGGAAGGTGCGGAAAATTCCCGATTCCGTTCACTATATGTGAACCCTGTTTGCGCAATTAGTTCCGGA